GCTTCCTCTCAGACACAGGTCCAGAGCTTCATGCATTTCCCCAGAAAGCCCCCTTCCCACCACCCTGGGGTTCAGCTGAGTCCTGCTTCACCAGTGCTGTGTTGCCTCCAGATTCCAGCATGCCTTGCATCTAAGCTCCTGACTATTGTTATGGCAGCCAGGGGGACAATCACTGTGTTTATCTGCCACTGCTGCTAGTGGTAGATATCATTCTCAAGGAAATTAACAAATCTTGCCTTCTGTGATATATATTTGTAGCAAGAATGGACCTCAGATAGGCCTGACACCTCAGCCTCTTGAAGGATGCTCCCAGGAAACTGGTCTTCCATTACTCAGCCCTGTGGGAAACACTTGGGTACTTATTGGGGTTACTGACACCAGCTGTTTGCACCTGGTGAGCAAAGCGCATACTCACAGCCTCCTCAACTATCAACACATCTGGGGCAGGAAGCCAAGCGGGTGTTAAACCCAGCGTGAGAATGGCAAAGGAAGTCTTAAGCCTGGCAGACTTCTCATTCCATTAGGTGGCATTATCCATAGCTTTATGTCCGCATGGAGCCTGAGGGAACCCTGTAACCGTATCTCTGCCTGTGGGGATATTGCTGGGACCTACTCTGTGGGACCATCTCTGTTAGTGTGGGTATTCTTTGCCTTTAAGGAAACTTTAAGTCTCCCGATACCCTTGGTGCCTCTTTCAGTCACTATCCCATTGTGTCAACTTTGCACTGGCCTTATTCATCTCAATAAGATCACACATCCTTCTGTAGGAAGACAGGTGAAATAAGGAATACATAAATGTTCACTGTAGCCTCTATTGTGGCTTAAAAGATACCTAGCCTACGGGCATTCCTTGAAAAACGTCTTTTTGCATGCATGAATGAAGAGAGAGACGTAGTTCACCAATGACTGCAATGACAAAAATGTGCTAAGATCTGCCATGGGCCAGGCACTGTGCAGGAAATAAAAATAAATGAAAGACAGGGTCACTGTTCTCAAGAGCCTTGCAGCCTGGTTGGGAGCAAGTAGCAGAGACCTTTCCTGCTTACAGAATGGCCATGTCCTTTCACACATTTTCCAAGTTCTTCATAATTAGGCTGATTCTAGCCAGTGAGCTGTGAGCAAACGGGATGAACGATGATGCTTGGAGGCTGAAGCATTTAACAGCCCCAGTCAATACTCCAGCTGTCTTTTCTTGACATGGTGTCCACAGCAGCCGCCATCAGTCTAGGTCCCTGAGCAACTGTGTGCAGCAGAGACCCCTGCCTGATCACACTAGATATGTGGGCTGAGCAAGAACACAGATGACTTTACAGATGCAACCAAGATTCAAGATGAATTTATTACCCCAGCAGAGCCTAGTCTATTCTAACACTGGGAAGACACATATATGTGAAAAGTAATAAGATCAGATAGTACCTGATCAGCATCCAATGAGTAGTGTGGATAAGACGCTCCAAGCTTAGCCTTGACCTGCAGGCTTTGCCTTTACTGTTCCATCTTCCTAAGAGTTCTCCTTCCACATCCTTTTGTGGGTGGCTCCCTCCTGCGATCCAGGTCTCAGCTATAAAGTTACCACCTTGAAACACCTTTCCAAGGCTGGGCTGGGGCCACACAGGGAGGCTAGGGTGACCGTGAGCTGAGTGGGTCAGCTGGGGTGGAGGACCACAGTGGGAAGAAAGTAGCTGAGAGCTTGAAATGCTAACTATAGCTGCTCTAGGGCCAAGGGAAGCTGTCTGAGGGTGCTGACTGGGAGCAATGTCCCCAAACCCACTGTTCAGGAAAGGTTGGCTGGATGGGGATTTCCAAGCTATAAGCCCATTGAAAGAGGCTGAGGACAACGGCATAGACGTTAGGCTGTGAAAACCATCCAGACACACGATGACCAGAGGACAGGAGAAATATGATGAAGGAAGGATCAGCAAACCTTTGTCCAAAAAAGTTCCCCAATACCCACTGCCACACAGTTGAGGGGTGGGAGGAGAAGGAGCCAGGTGTAGAGTTCAAAGCTTCTTTCTACTGGATTCTCAAATTCAGCGGTCCCTCTCTGAGCCCTCTGGGGTACCCAGTCTAAGGTAGACAAGAGCAACGCCCCAGAACAAGGCTCACTGGGGTTCCTGATGGAGACCCAACACACCACTTCAGTACAGATGGTGAGAAACTGACATCAAAGTCACACAAAAGAGATTCACATTTTAGAGGTAGAATCTGAGTCTGAACCTTAGGAAAGTGAGGGTATAATACTTCCCTTCCTGGCCATGCAGTTTTTGTGAAGATGAAATGGAGTTACAAATTTTATTTTAAGTTTAAAAATGCTTTATGAGTATCACTCTCAGAGAGAACAAAATGTACTTGTTAGGATTTTATCTCCTTTCCAGGGCACAGACTTTCTTACGGAGTCCTGGACATTGATTTAACAGCCCAGGGTAGCCGCTTTGGTCTGGCCAAGGAGGGTGTGTCGGTAGAAACAGTGAACTAGCTTCATGATGTGAAAGCTGTGTTACAGCCCATTTTATTTGTGGCTTTAAACAGAAGAGTTAAGGCCCCGCCTCGCACATGGGAAGTACTCACTAAATACTTATTAATGAGTTTTCTATTGTTGCCCACTCAATTTCTCTTTCATCTTTATCACTATCTAGAGCAATGCAAGAAAAGAGAGATAATGTAACACAAATGAACAGCAAGAAGAAAGGTCGACATCACCACTGACTTCCTGTCCCTCTTTTTCCTACTTCCTGCCCATACACTCAGCAATGTCCTTTCAACTGGCTCTCCTACCTCTCCCTATTCTGTCACATCCTATTTCCCTGCTAAATAATTTTGCAGACAGCTCCCGTCATGCCACGCTCTTAAAAAAATCCTCAGTGGTGCTAGATCAGGACCACATGGAGTGAGTAGAGGACATTTATTTCTACTCCTGATGTTTCCTCCATGCGGTGGGAATGTGATTAGTTGTAATGTCTCAGCTTGTCTTCCCCCAGCTTAACCATCTCTCCTCTTGAGTGAGAGAAGGAGGAGTAGCTTATCTTATTGTTGAGTCTGGAAGAGGACGCTGGCATTCCTTGCCTAGCCTCTTTTTCTGCCCTTACTTGGAGGGGGAGCTAAGGGCCTGCAGGAAGCAGGTGTTCTTCTATGTCCCTCCAAGTTCTAAGTTCACAGGGCTGGCCCATCCACCACTGCCTGCCATGGAGAGAGAATGTCTTTTTGGCTCTTCTCCTAAGCTACTGCCTCCCATGTAGCCTTTCTCAGTTTTACGGCTGATATTTTGGCTTTGTCTACTCTTGCCTTGATCTAATTTCTCAGCTGGTCCAGTCATCAGGCCAGGAAGATGGTACTGTTTATTGCTGAATGTCCCTGGGAACTCCAGCAAACACTTTTCCATTATCTATGAAAAAAATCGGAGTCCTCAGCCTGGCATTTTAGATTTCCCATTAAAAAGCAAAAGAAAACAAGAAAACACGAGCTAGTTAACTCCGTTGGCCCAGTTTCCCACTCCATCATGCCCTGGATGTGCCCTGGACCTAGAGCCCCGGCACTGGGCTCCCCTGGCGTCCTGTGCATGCTTCATGCTTTCTTTCTCCCATACGCTGAGCTCAGCTCCTCCTCCGCTGGTGTTCAGCTCGACCAAGACTCTCCCAATCACCCAAGTGGCTCATTTGCCACTTTCCTGCATGCCTTTCCTGACCCCCGGTCACTCCCTTCAGTGCCGTATTTCTCACTTGGGTTTCCTTTGCCAGGAATCTCCCTCTCCTCCTGCCCATCCCCTCCTCCCTATATGCGTGCCTGACTCTCACTTATCTCTGAGCTCTACAGTTAAATGCCTCTCCCTCCAAAGCCTCCTGAGTCCCCAGGAGTGTTGGATGTTCTTCCAAAGTGCTTCCATAGAATCCTGTCTATCATTAAATGTGCTGAATTAAAATTCTCTGCTTATTTTTCTCAAGCAGCTTATGAAGAAACACAGATAACACTCATAAATACGCACACTCCTGGAAACAGCAGAGCTGCCCCTGAGGATGCTAAGCGGCCGACGGCAACACAGAGCCAAAGCAAAGTGCTCACCATGGGTAGTGTTTCAGTAGAGGCCAAGCAGGGGAAAGGCACAGACAGAGCAACTTTCTGGAATTCTCCAGTCATCAGGAGAAGGCTCCTGAGGAGGTGGCTATCCTATCAAGGGTCCGTGAATTAAAGACATCATCCATACCATCAATGCAACCTCCCTGTGAGGTTAACAAGAAGTTGGGAAACCTCGTCCCTAGTGTCAGAGAGGGAAATCCCCACATTCAGAGAGGGAAGGGATGAATCCAGGCCACCCAGAATACAGACAATGGGACAGGGTCTCGACTGTCAGCCTCCCCCATCCAATAAGCACAAATGCCAAATGCCAAAACGTGGTGCTTGGGCAACAGCGGCTTACAGCTCAAATGACACGTCTGAGTATTGAGGCCATTGCATTTTTCTCACTGGTTTGAAGCTTGGGAAGTCTGATATGCCTCTTTGAAGTCTACTGAGTGCCCGGGGAATGTGTGGATTTTCTGGGGCCTCTGGCAATACGGGGATAGATAAGACCAATAAGACCCTCTTGGGCTCAAGTATCAAGAGGCTTTCCTCAACTTTCTAGATGCTGCTGGGAAAATGAGAGCTAAAGCTCTGCACTTTTTAACAGGAAGTCTGCCTTGCTTCTAGGTTAGGCTAAAAAGAACAGACCCTGTGGTTTATCCTTAGGGGAGAGTGAGTGTCCTGTCACATGAGGCAATCAACACAGGCCAGAGGACTTGATCAAGAATGTTACAGGAAGGATTCCCGCCTTTAGAGAAAGCCCTTTGGCAGCCCTGCAAATACACATACGTTGCACTTCCCCATTCCTCTAATTAAAATTCACTGTACAAAGCGTCCTGTCCCTGTCCCATTTTTTTTTTTTTATTTTGGTTCATTATCACCAAAAGCCTTGCACACATTGACTTAAAGAGGGCCTAGGACAGCCAGAAGATTCGGTGACACAGTACCAATTTTGGTGAGCCACTTGGCCACAGCACCATAGATCTCGTCCAGGATGAGGATGACCACGAGGTTGATGATGACTGCTGTTGCTGTCACTGTCACCCGGACATTGGAGCGTGTAGCCTTATTGAGAGACAGAGCGGCTGCTGTTGTTATTCGATACACAATCACCCCAAAGACGATTGAGAACGTCAGGGCAATCTGTTTTGGGGAAAACAGAGAAAAATACACATCAGCAGGCAATTCTTGAGCATCTACTATTTGCTCTGCCAACAGGACCATTTGCTGTTATCAGATATTATTAATCTGGAGTCTTTTGGTGGGTAACAAGAGAATCTTTTGGTGGGTAACAAGGGATTCTAGACATTATGAGTCTGGAATATTTGACTGGGTAACAAACTTTTAGGCAGGGTTCTGAGGGGAGGTGCATTTTCCAGGGGAGGATGTCTTAATTTTTATCAGAATGGAAATGATTTATCACACACACACACAATAAGGATGAACACGCTGGACCCTGTGGAGTGTTCAACATACATGATGCAATTTCTTTCGTGAGGGAGCTTTTGATCTTCTATGGAAATAACATGAACTCCTTTTAAACAAACCATAGTAAATAATGCCCAAGAATGCATTAAGTGCTAAATGAAGAATATTATTGCTGAAGGAACTCCAAGTACATGGGAGTAAGTAAATTTGGGTGGCCAGGGAATAGTCTGTGGAGACAGTGGGATTTAAAATGGAGTTTTCATGAGAACAAATAGAAAGCCACTGAAGGTACCTGAGCTGAGAAGGGATGAGTTACAGCTTGATAAGTAGAGGCAAGAAGGCTGCTCAAAGGAGAAAAGAGGGAATACATCAGGAGTGAGATTTTAGGAATCTCAGTCCTCAGGATGAACAAAATATCACTGTAAGATTTCTCTACTGGGTGAGTTGAAATGGAGGACTCAGATTCCTCATTTGGTTCAGAAATGTCTAGCTGCTGTGCTCCAAAAGGAGGGTTATAGCCACGTGACCTCTAAGGGTCTCCTCATTTCTTCTCTCTAGAACCTAAGAATAATAAGGCACTCTCTTAGACCTAGATCTGCCCAACAGCCCCTCTTCCTTCTTTTGCGCCCATGTCCCCTCCTGTCCCCATCACAACCAAGGAAGGATCATTTCCAGGAAGAATAAGGATGCTATGAGAAGAAAGTGCCCTGAGTAAGCCTCTGAGAGGGGACAGAAGAAACAGAGACAACTGCTAGGTGCATGCCCCGCTCAGAGCAAATTCTAACCTGCTTCAGTCGAGACTTGTTCAAGAAAGAAGCCTTCCTTCTTAGGACTCTTTCTGTAAAGGAAACTGTTCAGGTCCTATTTCCTCTGCAGGACAGAGAATGGGCACTGGTTATGAAGAACTAAATAGAAAACGTGGGGAGAAAACACGACAGGTGGAAGGCTCCCCTGAAAAAATAAGCTGTGCTGGACTACACACACACACACACACACACACACACACACACACACACACACACACACACACACGGAGCGGGGCAGGAAGGAGGGGGTGAGAGGAGGGGAGGAGAGGCACAGGAGGAAAGGGGAGGGGAGGTGGGGGCCTCTGGCTTGGGCAGTGCTTTGCAAGCAGTGTGAATGACACTCCAGTGGCTTGCCAATAGGTTGCAGATGTGTCCAGGTATGGATGTTTTCAGACCTCTGGTGGGTATCTGGGGTGTGCTGGTGGCAGACTCAGCTCTTTATCCTGGTGGGCTTCAAAAACTACCAGTAATTGCCTTACGGGCCGTGTTGTGAAAGAGAAGCCCTTGGTAAGGAAGGCAGAAAGGTGGCGTTCTCTGGGCAGAGGAAGGCTGTGTGTGTTTGGGTGTGTGTGGGTGTGGGGAGAGGAGAGGTTGGATGGGAAAAACACTCTGTGTGAGGCCCCTCTTCTGCTGCAGGGTGGGGGTGGGGAGCGGCAGAAACGCCAGCCTCCAGGACTAAGTAGGGACTACTACTGTGTAACTGGGAAAACCTGGACATGACATCACCCCTCTCCAACAATGTAGACATGTTCACTTTCCATTCCTCTGGGATTGTCACTGCCAGACAGTAAGGGCCTAGAAAATGTGGTGTGAGATTCTTTTCCCCAAAAATCACTTTTGCAGTGAAGACCAGTGATGAAAGTATTGATGAGGCTGGAGAGGTGAGGGTATCGAGGAGTGAGTGAATGTGTGTGTGTGTGTGTGTGTATTTGGGGGTTGGGATTGGGAGATAGACTAGGGGAAAAAAACAATGGCAAAAACATCCTTTGTTTAGGGTCTTACGGGAGGGACATGGAGGAAGGTGTGGGGAGAAGATCAGCTTCTGTTATTCTCTAAGAGGCCCAGCTGCTGAACTAGAGAAGGAACACTCTTTGCTACTCAAAATACTGTCCAAGGATCAGCTGCATCATCTGGAAGCTTGATTGAAATGCAGAATCTCAAGCACAACCCCAGACCTACTAACCTGGAACCTGCATTTTAACACAATTCTTTTTCACATTCAAGGAGCACTGTTCTACTTACCTAGGAAAGCCTTCTTTCCCGCCCTCCCTTCCTCCCTAGCCCCACTCCCGGCACACCTCACTCAGCTCTCTGATTCCTTGCAGGTTTACCTTCTCTGGTCTTGATTTCCTATCCCACTATAGAAATCAAGCTCTGAGCCTCTCGTTTGGTGTTTCCCAGAGCATTCCAAGATTCACAGAGCTTTCAAGATGCAGGAACTTGCAGAGCACCAACCCAGCCACGTGACCATTTTGCAGATGAAGAAACAGGCATGGAAAAGTGAAGCGATTTGCTGAAGTCCACAAGGTGTGGACTACAACCCTACTGTTCTGGATCATGGCAGAAATTTTAAAATCTTAGCATTTAGGAATCATCTATGTGCAGTCTTTAGTCTCATACATAAGGAAACTGAAGCCCAAGAGGCAACAATGTGATTGATCCAAGGTCTGGAGGGTATATGGTAGAGCTGAGATGTTAATGGTGATAACATCATCAATACCAGCTGAAATACTTGTGCCTTCTAGATGTCTTTATTCGATGCATATATTCACTAGCACTGATTCTTTTAACTACCATGCAAGACATGCCTTTAATACATGAGATTTAATGATGATTTAGGATTTGAACCCTGCTCCATGGTTCCAAAGTCTACAATCCCATCCTGACATTAGAACCCAGGTTTTCCAGCACTAAATCCAGTGCTATTTCCACCACTTGTGGTTACATTATTTATTTACTTTTTCTTTTTTTGTTGTTGTTTGAGATAGAGTTTTACTCTTGTTGCCCAGGCTGGAGTGCAATGGCGCGATCTTGGCTCACTGCAACCTCTGCCTCCCAGGTTCAAGCGATTCTCCGGCCTCAGCATCCCAAGTAGCTGGAATTACAGGCATGTGCCACCACACCTGGCTAATTTTGTATTTTTATTAGAGATGGGGTTTCTCCATGTTGGTCAGGCTGGTCTCCAACTCTCCACCTCAGGTGATCTGCCTGCCTCGGCCTCCCAAAGTGCTAGGATTAGAGGCATGAGCCACCGTGCCCAGCCCACATGATTGATTTTGTTTATTAAGTTCAATACATATTTTCTGGTTGCTTATTGTGCAAACCACTGCACTGGGTATATTCCATGTTTGTGATCTGTCTCTTCCAACTAGGTCAAAAGGAGGTTTGTCTTGTACCACATTCTGTGCCTTAAAGCCACTTCATAGCAGCGCCTCCTGTAGAACTGGTTTGGTAAAGATTCGCTGGTCAGCAGCTCTAGGGGATCTGGCTGCCCTGCACACGGTCATTTTATTATGGTTCCTGTTGTTTTCGGTGTTTTCACTTCACAACTTTACTTCTGGGGCATAAACAAAATGCAACATAAGCCAGGCTACAGAGTCCAGAGTCCTACTTGACACCAAGAGCGAGACAGGAAAGAGAGGAGGCCTCTTCATCGCCCTCCAGAACTTGCATTCTGAAGCAAAGTTGAGAAAATCATTGCACACATACAACAAAGATGAGCCTAGTAGCAGCTGGATGGAGTCACAGGCCTCTGTTCACGAGCTTCTGGTATGCTCTCAGCAGAGAGCAGGGGGATTAGTCAGAGAAAACTCCACAGAAAAACGTTTTGGGACAGTTTCCTGTGGGAAAGACTGAGAGGAAAGAATAAGAAGGAAGAACTTTCTGGAAAAGGGAAGAGGAGCAAGTAGCAATGCACAAGGCACAAGTAACCTCTGCTGATCCCCAGCATGGCACACAACAGTACCTCAAGTATAAAAATACAGGCGTGCACACACACTAGCAACTTCATCATCGACACAGTACGCTGCCTATGACATCCACCTAGTTTATTTACCCATTCGGTCATTCATAAAATGTGTCTTAAGCTCCTCCTTGTGCCAGTCTCAGTTCTAGGTCCCAGTAGGAAAAGGAAACAGAAAGCACTACCTTCACAGAGTGGATCTTCTAGTGGGAAAATATAGACAATAAACTAATAAATAGGTAAAATACGTAGTACCTTCAGCACGAGAAATACTGTGGAGACAAAGAAGGCAAAGAGGGTACAGAGATCAGTTGCAATTTAAAATAGGGTGGTTGGGAAAGAGATGGGTGAGGAAGTGACCCTTTACCAAAGACCTAAAGGAAGGATTTAAGAGAAGTGAGCAAGGGGACAGGTGGAGTGGGAGACGGGTGGGCATCCAGGAGGGCGCCCTCTAGTGTGTGGATATTGGCTTCCACACCTCAGGAGATGGGAAGGCATCAGAGAGTTTTGAGCACAGGAGGGACGTGAGTTGGTTTAGGTTTTAAAAATTAGCATGCTGATGATCCATCAGGGGCAGTCTGCAAATAAGGCAGATCAGTGAAGGGGCTATGATGAGAATCCAGGCTGTGGAGGAGGATTTCTGATGGTGGACTCCCAATATCAATAAGAAAATGACTATCTGGGGCACAGGAGGAAAGCTCAGGCACCTAGCTCTAGAGGAGGGACAGTGCCTCTGACAATCCCCTCCCTTACAAGAAGAAAACAGGAGGGCCCATCTAAAAAGGAAACTTTAGCTGAACACACTGGATTGGTGAAGAGAGAGAAAGTTCATCTTTGTCCATGCTGGCCTCTAACACAAGGAGGCAGATGAAATAGCACTGGGGCATTTCTTTGCTCTCATCACCCCATGAAAAGCATTCCCAACTGACTTGGTAGAATGGCATGCC